GTGTAAAGCCCATAGGATGCTGCCAGGCCCTGATGCATATTCCACACGGTTGTTCAGCTTTTGTATTTAATCTCCAGCCGTTCCAGAGATTTCAGAGTTCTCACTGCTTTTTGCAAAGCTTTCTGTCAACTGGAGAGCGGTTTTAAAGTATCGATGTCAAATCTCTGTTGACACAGAGTTTCTGTCAATAGCTAATCTGGAATAATGAAACGCCAAACGGCAAACGAATCCCAATATGTACTTTGCATTATGTATAATAGCTTATATTTATTGAGCTCCAGGATTGTGAGGCTTGATCCTTCTACCTCCTGGATGTTTGGAGGATTATAGGAGTGTTAACCAAACATAATTATACGTCGTTTGACTATCTGACTTACACAGTTCTCTTAATGGGATATTTACATTTTGTTTTCACTCCTTTTTATCTTTAAATTGATTAATTCAGCCTCGATTTCCACATATTTCATTTTCTTGAGGGAAACTTAGCGCAGGGCTCTGAGCTGAGCATGTAGCACTGCCAAAAGCCCTTTGGTAGCGTCCTTGTCTTCCTGGATGTCCGCAACAGCTGTCTTTGAAGACCCGAGCACCCGTGTGATCCAAGGGCAGGACGGTGGGCGAGCCCTGGGGTCCTTAAAGTACTTGGGGCTTCTTGCCGAGTGCATGAAAACTCTTCTACAATTTATGGAGTTTTTGCAACCAGCATTTCTCATTGCAAAACCGCCTTTTCAGTGCAGTGACACCAAGGCTGTCTCTGTGGGCTGCTTGAGCAATGGGAGTGTTTGAAAAAAAGAGAGAAGTAAATGAAATCTATGGGCTTCCCTCGCTGGGGGATTGATCACGCTCTTTGGGGAAAGCAAGGAGCATGCTCAAGTCTGGGTGGGCACCCGGGGCTCTCTCTCCTTCAAGGTCCCCGTCTCACCCTCCAGCCTTGTCGCTCGATTGACCAGTGTCCCATCTTCTCGCCTCTCGCTGGGAGCGCCACCGGGCGGAAAGGGGCCGTATCATACAGCAGGCGTCAGGAGGTGGGAGCTTGGGCTCTCCCCGCTGGGACGGTGAGGTGTCTGACACACGCGAGGTGTTTTGGGAGCAGGACAAGGAGACCAGATCCCCTCTGACGGGGCGCGGACGCGGCGCGCTGGGTTCAGCCACCGCAACTGAGGACGTTTTGCTTCTTGGTCCTCGTGTCAAGCTGTGTGCTCTGTGCTATTGAGTTGGATCCCATTTCCAGTAGTGCTTCTAGCACTCTGCCCTTCCTCTGTGCTGAGGATGCCTCCTGACTTCCTTGCACCAGCACTTTTCAGCGCTTGATCTAATGCACAACTGCTCCATCTGAACTCATAATGGCCCACGTGGCACCAGGCCTTGTGCTTCACCCAGGTCCACTTAGATGAGATCTACCGCAGTTGCTTTGCCAAGGAAACCAGTTATCTTATTGAGAAAACCAGTTCCTCCAAAATGTGTTCTCAAGTCTTGCAGCTATTGAGCTCAGACTAATGAGCCTGGATCATTTTGTCTTTACCTTCTTAAATGCAGAAAGCAGGTTTAGCATCCCGTAGTCCTGGAGCAGGCTATATAGGTGCATTTGAAAGCCTGTTGATAGATTAGAGATGCTAGAAGGAAAGCCCTGGGGAATACTGCCGTGACACAGGTACCACTAGCACACTGGCTGTGCAAGCTCTGATCAACCCGGGCAAGCCAGCTTGCTGTCACCGCCTGCCCGAGATTTGTTACCAACACTGGTACCAATTGTGAGGGTGGATTTCAGGGTATGCATGCTTCTCTACTAATAAATTGGCTGGATCTATCAAGTCCTTAATAGGTCTGACAGTGCAAAACTGCCACCCAGGATGAGTTCTTGCTCGTGGCGTAATTGCAGCATTGTTCCTGTCCTAGTCGATGGCTCTGTCGCACTCGAGTGATTTTGAGGTGGCTCTTGTGAAGGCACAGCTGGCTCGCTGGGGATCTCCCTCGGTCCCATCACACCCCGTGCCCACATTCGTTCAGCCCTTTCTCATGCTGCAGGCTGGCCTTAGCTTGTCGCTGCCCCTGTCGTACGCGGGGCGCCTGCAGGGATGATCAGGCTCCCTGGGCTTCCTCCGTCAATTAGGCTGCGTTGTTCTGCTCCGCCGTGAAAGAAGCAGGGACGGCAATTAAACAAAGCGACAAGTCTCAGCCCGGCTTCTTGGGGAATGCAGCTGGCGTCTGTCTTTGGCAAGGCGTTAGACAACGCGGGGGCCCGCCTGGCTACCTAGTGCCTAGAAGTGTCTCAGGGAGAGCTGCCTGCTGGCTTGGAGGTTTGGGGGGATTTTTCTTTTAATTGCCTTATTTCTTTGGAAACTTCTCAGGGACAGCGGGGGGCGTTCAGAAGCCCAAAACCACCCACCCCTTGTTCGGCAGAAGCCAAAACGGACGGGGGTGCCGGTCTCCTCGAGAGCCGAACGATGCTCCCGCCCCTATTAATGGTTCCCGTGCTTGTTTCCAGGTCGGAGTGTGGAACCCGTCCGAGGGCCTGAATATCACAGAGATCTCCAAGGGACAAGGGCCCAACGTCACCGACTCGCTGACCAACCGGTCTCTAATTGTCACCACCATCCTGGTAAGAGGGTTTTCGTCATCATCCATATAGAAATAGCTGGAAAAGGTTGACTCTTTGGAGGCTGCGGCCTCTCCTCGAGCTCCCGCCTCGTGTGTGGGAGCCCCGCTCCCTGCCGAGCACGCGGGGCCGTTATCAGGGAGCGGGCCTGGTCGGCGGCAAGAAGCCAACAGCTGCCCGCCGCTGTCGGAGAGGTCCCGGGGCTGCGCCCTGCGCTGGAAGCAGGAAGCACGGAGCACAAGGCAGACCGGGCAATGCCAGCACCGCTGCAGACACTGCCGGGCTGGGACTGATGGCTCGTTAGCGGCGTCCAGGGACTCTCCGTTAACGAGCAAACAGCCACTCCCTGTCTGCCCGCGTGATGAGCTGTGAAAGCCCCTGGGTGCCTGCCTGGCAGGTGGCTCTTCTGGAAGGGGCGAGGAAAGGCAACTGGTGCAGAGGCAGCTACTGGGGGATGCCTGGGCTCCAGCGCTCTCCTCCCCGCTGGCTAGCCCAGAGAGGGTCGCTCCCAGGAGCCCCAGCTGATCTCTTTAGACTTCAGGTTTGTGGCTTTGCAAATATGAGGTGTGAAGGGAGGGATGCCGAGTGCCCCGGAGCTGGGAAGACGTCCCCCTTGCCCCGGGCGCATACAGCCCCTTCCCCAACGGGAGTCAGGAGCGGGAGGTCCTGCCAAACGGAGCGGGCGCAAGAGGGGAACGAGAGGCTCCTGCTGCCCCTGGCACTCCCTGGGGCGGTCTCCAGCCGGCAGTGGGAGCTTGTTCCCCCACTCTGCCCCACAGCGCCCAGGCAGGGACCCAGACCGGGCAGGTGTCCCTTGCCCTCTCCAAACGCAGTTGTGCCTCGTGCAACCGCCCCGGGCACGTCAGCTCTGACGGGAGTGCTGGCCCTCTGGACACGATGCTAAGTTGCCTGGCTGATGCCCCTCCGGCCCACAGCCATGTCCAGATCCGGGCAACAAGGAGTGGGGCGTAAGGGAGGAGCAGAGCAAGGGGAGGGCGTCTGGTGCGGACAAAGCGCCAGCTGGGCTCAGGAACGTGTGGTGCAAGCCGAGCTGGCCTGCAGCCCCTCCTGCCTTTGCTACCCTCACAGACCACTACGCGCGTGTGCCAAACGCCGGCGTGTTTCTGCACGTCGCTGGCGCAGGCAGCCTGGAGCCAACCCCACTTCCACCAGCCAGGAGGCTGCTGCTGGCTCCTTCTGCGTCTTTCCAGCCTTCTGCTTCAGCTGTGGGACCGTTGTGCCAGGGTGTCCTCTCTGCACCTGCAAGACCCCGTGAGGGCTCGTGGCCTGGGCTGCACGAGTGAATAGCAGGCGAGGCAATGTGGGGAGCGGGTGTTGTCTGCTTCAGATGGAACGAGTCCCATCGCAGCAAAGAAACCCCCCACGAACACCAAGCACGTGCCTGGCCGGAGCTGCGCAAAGTGCACAGCTCGTCCCTCTTAAGCACATAGGTGAGAAACCAGCCAGAAGTCAGTGAATGATCCAGCAAACGGCGGCTGTGCAACCCATCTCCTCCTCTCCCAGCTGCCACGCCGTATTTAGCCCCTGCGCTCGCTATCGGAGGCGATAGCAGGCATCAGATCAGAATGAATTTTTGCCGAACGCTTAATGAAGGCTGACGAGGCATCAGGGCTTGTATACGGCTGCGCTCCACACGGGAGAGCCTGGGCACCCGCAGGGAGCCAGAGAAGATGCTGCCGTCCCTGGGAGGAGTGACGTGACAAGGGAGCGTGGACTCGCTCAGGATCGGATTTGAAGCAATGTTGATGCCTCTACGGGTTTTCTGATGGATTTGCACTCAGTGCCTTCGAGGAGCCTGCACTGAGACGCAGAAGACTGCCTGACCTCCAAGGTGGTCCTCGTGCTCTAGTTCTGAGCACACAGACAGACCATTACAGAGGCGAGCACACACCACCGCACTGGACCAAGCCTACCAGA